AGAATAATCACTGTGAAAAACCATATCATGTTGCTGCTGATCTGTTTCATGTTGCTGCTGATCTGTTTCATGTTGCTGCTGATCTGTTTCAATGTTGCTGCTGATCTGTTTCAATGTTGCTGCTGATCTGTTTCAATGTTGCTGCTGATCTGTTTCAATGTCGCTGCTGATCTGTTTCAATGTTGCTGCTGATCCATTTAATGTTGCTGCTGATCTGTTTCATGTTGCTGCTGATCTGTTTCATGTTGCTGCTGATCTGTTTCATGTTGCTGCTGATCTGTTTCAATGTTGATGTGTTCACGCGTGCACATCTGCTCACAGACTCATGTTCATGTTTGTGCTGATGTTCAATGTTTTATGTTATGAGTGCTTAGTGTATATTTAGTTGATGTTTTTCTTAGTTCATATCTTAGATGTTATTACTGTTTTTCTTAGACATTTTATTGTTGGATGTAACTGGGACCCTGTGTACATAATTTCGCTCCACCACATGTACCACATGAGGTGCGAATGACAATAAAGAATCTCTGACTCTGATTAATTGTTTCTAGTTTTTATGCCCTGTTTTACTTTTCTTTGACCACCTCTGAGCCGATGGTTCTCCTGCCCACTTCTATTCAGCCTCCTTTTTTTTTTTACCACCTATCTCCTTTCTCACACACCATCTGAATTGGTACCAATCTTTTTTTCTCCTCTCGCTTCCTGCTCAGACATTTCTCTTGCCTGTCCTCCAAGTACATGCTGCCTGATGTGCCAGCATTGATGAGCACCCTGCTGGCCAACATCAATGCCTTCTTCGCCCACCCCACTGCCTCCACAAACGTCTCAGTTCCTGCCAGATTTGCAGCCGCCAACTTCGGGGTAAGTGTCCGTCAGTCTGGAAAGCACCTCAACACAAAGTGACAGATGTTTCCATCCCATAAACAGGGTGTCAGCATATTGTGTTTGTTCCACTGTGAAATGCCAAAGGTTTTATAACTGCTTGAGTCACAAACAGATTTTAAGAATCTGTTGGACTCCTGGCCAGGACCAACGCAGACATGTTCCTGTTTTTAGTTTTCTACATTCACCTTAGAATCTAGATGTTTCTGTTACTCTTTTTGCATCTTATTGGTAAAAAAAAAATCTGTAAGCTTTTTTATAACTGTCTATTGTTGTCACTGTTGTCATCACTCTGTTAAATCAGGTCTCTGTAAATGAGTCCTCGAGGCTCAGTGGGATTAACCTGTAGAAATAAAGTTGAATGAATGAAAAAACCTTATTTACATCTCACTCTGAGTCCGGCAGTCTGATCACGAGTGAAGTACAGGTGTGCACAACTGGAGATGTGAGGCATTGCACCGGTCAGGAACATATTGTGTCAGTTTTGATCGACTCTGACATTTTTTCAATGATTCAATTCAGTTCAGTTTATTTGTAAAGCACCAAATCACAACAAAGTTGTCTTAGGGCACTTTACAGAAACATTCACATACATAAAAACCAATTAGTAAAGTTCTCTATCTAAAGATTCGTGGTTCTTTATTGTCATTCGCACCCCATGTGGTACATGTGATGGAACAAGATTATGTTCACAGGGTCCAGTTACATCCAACAATAAAATGTAAAAGAAAAACAGTAATAACATCTAAGATATGAACTAAGAAAAACAACTAAAAATACATTAAGCACTAATAGAATAAAAACATTACGTCGAACATCAGCACAAACATGAGTCTGTGAATGAATGAAATATATACCAAGTACAGTGAAAAGGAGGAACCCAGACCCAGACCAGTGGTCATTCCAGATGTTGAGGGAGTATCAGAGAAACTGAGACGTTTATTTTCTAAACATAACGTCCCAGTGGCTTTTAAACCCCAAAATACATTAAAGACTGGTTCATCCCAAAGATCCAGTCCCCCGGCACAAACAGAGTAATGTTGTGTATGCTGTTCAGTGTCAGGAGGGTGATCAGTCTTACATCGGGGAAACTAAACAGCCACTGGCCAAAAGGATGGACCAGCACAGAAGATCAACATCATCAGGCCAGGACTCTGCGGTCTACACTCATCTCCAGGTCAGAGGTCACTCTTTCAGGGATGAAGATGTTCACATCCTGGACAGAGAGGAACGATGGTTTGAGAGAGGAGTAAAGGAGGCCATCTTTGTGAAAAGAAACCGTCCATCATTAAACAGGGGTGGAGCCTCCAGGTTCAACTGTCCCCCTCTTACAATGCTGTGATTGCTAGTATCACTCAGCCCTCTGTGAACAGTAAACAGCCATCAGGTGCTAATGATCCATTGTTAGGCTGATGGTCCTTCTTGAGCATGTGATCAGCTGGTTCTGGTTGTCAGCAGCAAACTGGTTGATCCACTCTGAGAAGGTGCTATTTAAGAGACTGAGCTGAATACAGCTCCTCAGACTGAGGAAGTCCTCAGGATGAGAGACGAAACGTTTCTACTTTTTTGTTTGTTTGTTTGTTTTGTGAATGTCCAGAGGACCAGATTGAACTTTTTGATATGGGTGCAATAAAAAACAAAAGTACAATTCAATCAATGAAAAAAAATGGGTACAAAAAGGTTTTAAGACCTTTTTAAAAACATGTCAAGGTCTGTGGGGCCTCAGAGATGAAGGCAGGGCGTTCCACAGCCGAGGGGCAGCGCAGGAGAAAGCCCGGTCTCCTGTTGTGCAGGACCGAGACCTGGGAGTGAGAAGAAGATGAGTGTTGGAAGAGCGGAGAGTGCGTGAAGGACAATGAGGGGTGAGAAGTTCTTTTAAATAAGATGGTGCATTACAGTACAAGCATTGGAAGGTGAGCAGATAAATTTTGTAAGTGATCCGGGCAGAAACAGGAAGCCAGTGAAGTGAGCGGAGTACAGGGGTGATGTGCTCGTGCTTACACACTCTCATCAGGACCCTGGCAGCGCTGGTCTGGACATACTGGAGTTTCTGTATGTTCTTGCCAGGAATCCCAACGAGGAGTGCAGTAGTCCAGTCTGGAGGAGGCAAAGACATGGACGAGCTTTTCTGCATCGGTGAAGGACAGTGTAGACCGAAGCTTTGCAATATTTCAAAGATGAAAGAAAGAAGTTTTACACATCTGCCTTATATGGCTTTCAAAGATGAGGTGAGGATCCAAAATAACCAAGATTGGTGACTGTACTGGAGAGAGAAATGTTCTGATGAAAGTAATCAATCAGAGGAAACTGGCTCCTTGGTTCAATTCTTGGTGACTAAATTCATTTCATCGTCCTAATATGTCTGACCATTTGTTCCACTCACTCCCCTGGAGCTCGGAGCTACTGCCAGAGGACAGCGAGACAAACGGAATGATTGTACGAGCCTCTACCTCGTCTCCAAGTCACATTCTGTGAAGCTCCTCTTTTTCTTTAAGATGGTGCAGAGGAGATTCTCCAGTGCTGGACAGATTTAAATATATTTACATATTTAAATGGACGTGTGCCGAGGGAGGAGCCAGGTATTCCCTCATGTGCGCTCAAATCCACGTTGATTGGGACGTACACAGGAAGTGTGCTGGATTCATGTGTACGCACGGTTTCATGCATCTGGATTGATTTATGCTGTTTTCTGGTTTGAAGTGTTCGCCACGTTTCAGGTGGAAGTCCACACAAGTCCTTCTACATGAGGGCCCTGGTGTTTTTTAGCATTATAGAGAAATGAATGGTTAGTTCCTTCCCAAACAAAATAAATGAAACAGTAAAATGTTTTTCAGGACATCAGTTATGTGACTTTTTACAGCCGAGAAAGGGACTGATGGCAACATTTACTGTTTCTGTTGATGAGTCAGAGTCAGGCAGGTTTTATTGTCATTTCAGCTACAAGTACATACTGAAGCGAAACGGTGCTCCTCCAGGGTCATGGTGCAACATAGAACATAACGTGCAAAACAACACAACACACAGTGCAGATACACAGAACAATCAAAATAGAGACGTGTTGATTAGTGCATGTGTAGGTGGTGCATGAGCTAGAACGTTCTGATATGTGGCTAGCAGTGTAAAGTTTTAGCTGAGTAAGGTGCAAAAATGCAAAAAACGAGCAGATTGCAAAAATGGTCAAAACAAAGAAAAAAATCACGAACAGCACAACAATGTATTTGTGTGTATTTAGGTTGTGTGTGTGTCAGACCATCATGTGTTTGTGGGATAGGGTCCACACACACGATGTAACGTATAACAGATTTTTCTTTTGTGTTTGTCCCTGTCCAACAGAGGGATCGGTTCGTGAAGCTCCTGGATCAGCTGCACAACTCTCTGCGTATCGACCTCTCCATGTACAGAGTGAGTTCAGCTGCTGCTCGTTCTCTTCTGTTTCTTCACTTCCTGTTTAATTCAACATGCTGTAACAGAGGCGTTTCAGTGTTGGTTGTTGAGCTTCCTCAGGATCTTCTAGGCTCTTTAAATAACAAGGAACAATCCTGTTCCATGTGAAGATAATTTGGATTATCACAGTTCATGCTCAATAATCCAGGTAAAAAAATCCAACAACGTTAAGTCAGCTCCTCTGGACACTTTGGTTTTGTTGAAACATTTTGTCTTTCATCCAAAAGACTTCATCAGTTCGAGGAGCCACAACAAACACAGTTTAACTTTGTTGGATAATTCTGAGTGATTTTTGCTTTTAAACCATTTGTTAAAGCTGGACGTGATGAATATTTATTAGGAACTCCATCAGCATCGACGGCAGTTCAATCGTCATCTTGTGAATACTAGAACCTCCTTCTTCCACCTGCGTAATATCACTAACATTAGAAACATCTGATCTAAAGATGATGCAGAAAAACTGGTCCATGCATTTGTCACGTCTAGACTGGACTATTGCAATGGTTTATTATCTGGGTGTCCAAATACTTCTTTAAAACGTCTTCAGTTGATCCAAAATGCTGCTGCCAGAGTCTTAACTGGAGTTACTGGGAGAGATCATCTCTCTCCAGTTTTAGCTTCTCTCCATTGGCTCCCTGTCAAATCCAGAATAGAATTCAAAATCTTACTTCTAACCTACAAAGCCCTCAACAACCTAGCTCCATCTTATATTACAGATGTTATTGTTCCATATTTTACTAACAGAGCACTTCACTCTCAGACTGCAGGTTTACTCGTGGTTCCTAGAGTTTCCAGCAGCAGAATGGGAGGAAGATCTTCCAGTTCTCAGGCTCCTCTCTTGTGGAACCAACTTCCAATTTCTGTCCGTGAGGCTGACACATTGTCCAGTTTAAGACTGGGATTAAGACTTTCCTTTTTGGGGCCGGCAATGGAGGAGGGGGCGTACCAAAGAGACCATCTTAGCACCAACATAACTGGTTTGTTCCACCTTGGAGTAAGCTGTTGGGGGAATAATCAGGTTTCTGTTGTTTGTTTCCTTGACTGATGAAGCCTTCCGGATCGAAGGCGAAACGTTTCAGCACAAAAAAATAAACTGCCCAGATGACCTGACTGAAAAATGTTGGATTGTATACCTGGATTATTGAGCGTGGACTTTGTTGCTTTCCTTTTTGATAAATCCTATAGTTAGGGTCGGCTTGTTATGCTGCTATAGACTTAGACTACTAGAGGACAAACTGACCTCATTTCCTTAAATGAATTGTTAAAACTGAATAGTTTTCATTTGATACTATTTCTATCTTAACATGTGATTCTGGACCTGCCATTGTGTATCTATTCCTACCAAACCCAGCCAGTCGAAGCAGATGGTCCTCTTGTCCTGATCCTGGTTCTGCTAAAGGTTTCTTCCTCATGAGGGAGTTTTTCTTACCACTGTCGCCTTCAAGCTTGTTCAAGATTTATTATTTATTTATTTATTAACTTTTATTTAACCAGGCAAGTCCCACTGAGATCCCAGATCTCTTTTGTAAGGGAGGCCTGGGCCTGAAGGCAGACTAACATGCATGTTTTTGGTCTGTGGGAGGAAGCCGGGGTACCCAGAGAAAACCCACGCAAGCAGGAGAAGAAAATGAAAACTCCACATAGAAAGACCCCTGGTCCAACCAGGGATTGAACCCAGGACCTTCTTGCTGTGAGGCAACAGTGCGAACCACTGAGCCATCGTGCTGCAAGAGATGAGAGTTCTGTGATGGAGTTAAACTCAAAGCAGTCAGACAAATCATGTTCAATTATTATTTTTATATATGAACGTTTCTGTTCAGTGTCCTGAGACGACTTCTGTTGTGACTTGGAGCTGTATAAAGAAACTGAATTCAATTGAATCTGTTTGTTTGTTTGTTTGTTTGTTTGTTTGTTTGTTTGTTTGTTTGTTTGTTTGTTTGTTT